ATCCAATAAAGGATGGAGATTCTCCATTGTATATATACAAATTCAACTCAAGCAATTCTTTAGTTTAATATATTTTAAATGACTTCTGTTCAATGTGGGAAAACCAAGGAGTAATGATGCTGGGGCTGATCAGCCCCAAAGGAAGAAAGAAGGTAAAACTGACTATAAACCAGATTGCAGATCAAATCAGTGTTTCCTACGGTAAGTGTCAGACCTGATGCCAATTAACTTGATTTAAAAAAAGAACCTTCAGTTTTTAATAATCCAACATGTTACTAACACGTGGCTCCAGGATTTATTAAAGCTTTTTTATTAGATGAGTGCCCTTTTAATGTTGTCATGCCTTGACACCATTGCCCTCTGCCGGAGGATGTGAAATCTCTTTCACCATGTGGCATAGCCCTTCTGCTTTGCAGCATGTCAAAATATATTTCTGCCAAGGAAAGTCTTTCCAAACTATGCAAAACACCTTTGTTGTAGAAGTATTTTAACCCCAAAATCACTTACATTTGAGCTGGTGATTTGTCCTTTGCCTGATTTTTCAAAACTGAAAAAAAGAAAGTATACTTTCTGTATTGGAAAATAGAGTTTGATCTTTTTAATTAATTAATGTTTAAATTTGTTCCTCCTCCTTCTTTTCCCTGGGGGGAGGAGATAGCAGAAGCCTAAAATTGACAATCTGAACAAAGCCAGGTTTTGTTTTGAACGTTTTCAGTGGGAAAAGGAAAGTGGTATTATGATGGGGCAGGGGTAGAGTGAATGCCTTGAAGAGGAGCATAATTTCCCCCAGACTAATTTTTGGCTAGCCTTGTTTGTGCCGTAAACAGCAACAAAAAGCATCATTTGCCTTTGGTAGCAAGGGATATTTTGGATGCAGGGAAAGCCCTATGTCTTGGGCTGTGAAGCTGTGAGTTCTCTCACCAGCAGTGTAAAATCACAGGCGACCATGTGTTTCCTAGCTGATGTTGTTCACAGGAGAAAATGGATTTCACCTTTTCCGGCTTTAACATGTGACGGTGAGGTGGGAGTGTGGCTTTGTCACACTGAGAACTGTTGTCACGCTGCACTGAGGCCCTCAATTGCATTAGTGTGTTGGGAGAGAACACGCTTGAAATACTTCATCTGGATCCAGATTTCACAGTGCTCACAGCAGCCCCAAGTGAATTCTTACGATGTCCTTCAGTCAGGCTTCTCAGGGTCATCAATAAAATCAAATCGCTTCAGGAATTAACAGTGAGCAAATGTCTTTGCTGCAGAGCCGAGTACATGGTACACCGTGGATGCCGACAGGCAGCTAGGTATGCAGAAGCATGGGTCGGCAACTGGGGGCCAGACTGTGGTCTGTGGCTCCACGTTCTCCCCCAGCCGACCATCGCCATCTGCGATTCGGATCCATACTGGGGTTGCGTCCCTTTGGGTGTGTGGAGCGCGCTGTATCTAGGGAAGGGAACATTAATTACAGCCACTGCGCGCGGCGTATCTGATTCACATCTGCAGCCCACAGTCGCCGATGGCGCAAAAGGAGCTCAGCATTCAGCCAGCCCCAGGAGGACACGGGGAGGAAGCGTTCCCACAGCGGGGAGCACTGTCCCCGGGAGCTCTCTGCTGCCAGCCCGAGCAGAGCTGCAAAGCAAAGCCAACAGCTCTCTGCTGGGGCACGAGTGGGCTGCGTTGGCCCTTGGCAGCTGGAGCACCAACGTGACAGAAGATTGACCAGGGAGCTGCTAAATGCTCTGTAGCAAATTAAAAGGAATCAATCCTGGAGAGACCAATGCACAAATCGTTGGAGCCTGCTCATTTTCCCTGTGTTGAAGGGATGGAAATCAGAGTAAAGCCCCAGCCCAAAGGTGCCCATTCTTCATCATATGAAGCCCAGGGTCAGCCTGTCCTATGGGAGTGCTGACAATTTGAGTCTGGATTGGCAGGAGGCAAGGAAAAGGCATCTTTAAGGTTAAGAGCACTGTATTCGGAGGAAGCTGCCCTTGACAAACGGGGCATTTGATGCATGCCAGCCCACTGTGGCAGCCTGCCAGATGCTGTGAATTGACTCTGGCTCTTTTAGCATGTCATTTCCTCCCACCCCCTCTCCAGTGGCACAGTCCTTTCCTTGGTGCATTAGCAGCAAGGCACTTTACCAGGCAAGGTGTTCAGTCTTTTCAGAGCTGCCCCTTACTGCTCTGCCCTACAGGGATGCTCAAGGGACATGTTCTGGCTTTATTAGAGGATTCAAAGGATGCCGGCGCTCAGTGCCCTCTGTTCAGGCACTGATAGCAACTGCAGGGACAGCAAGGATGAGGCCAGATGCTCTTTCCTGAGGGCACTGTGTGCTTTGGCAGTGCTAGGCCAGTGAGATTTCTCTGGCTCTGAGAAGTGGACAGGGATGCAGCAGAAGGCTGATGTTTGCTGGAATAATTCTTCCTCTTCCTCCCTGGTTTATTTTGTCTGGATGAGGCTGCTTTCTCCAGTTCTGAAAAAAATGGGGACAAATCTGTGTTGCTGGAAGATGCTTCCTTGAAAGTCTGCAGGGTGTCCAGCTGCACAGAGCATATCCTTGGGGTGTGAAAAGCTTTTCCCTGCTGGTTCCCTGTACTTGACTGCAGGAAACCCTACTTTCTGTAGAACCAGGTGTGTTTGGTGGTTGGTTTAGAGGTTTGTTGTTGTTTCCTCTGGAGACCCCTCAAGAAGACTAGCTCCTTCTTATCACCCTCACTAGCTTGCCCTGATCCACCACAACCTCCTTCCATACCACTGAGTCCTTGCATTTCCTAAATGCAGTTTGCCAGCACATCTGCTGATTGCGTCCTCTGATGAGGGTCTCCTGAGTGAGGCTTTGTCTCTGTGCATGGTGCCGGCCAGCACATCTGCTGATTGCGTCCTCTGACGAGGGTCTCCTGAGTGAGGCTTTGCCTCTGTGCATGGTGCCAGAGGAGGATGGGTCCCCAGCTCTGTAGATGCTGGCACTGTGATCTCTGCACAGGTTTTTGTATGTGGGGTGGCAGGTCTCTCCCTGATGAGAGACCTCCAGGTGGGGAACTGGCTGTTTGCTAGAGTTGGCTGGAAATTTTTTGACGAGTTGGGTTTTTGTATGTGTGGAAAAAAATTGGATTTGCTGAAACTTTTTTGAGGGTCATTTACATGTCCCTTTTAAGGACAAAGGCCAACCTGTGTTTTCCCTTGTTTTCCCTGGTAAATTAATACCTCTGTGATTGAAGTGCTAATTTGGAAGAACCAGGTTCTGTCCAGCAACTTGAATATTGCTTGCTTGCACTTTAAAAGGACAACCCATCGGTTTTTGGAGCCATTTCACTTCAAGTCTTCCACTGGGCTCAGTGCTGGAGGCTGACTGTGCAGCCCAGTGGTCAAGGCATGGCCAAGGGAATTCAGATCAATCCAAATTGGGCTAATCAGGGATTTAAACCTGGATCTGTCCATGGCTACCCCATGCAACCAAGAAAAAGCAAGCTCCAAGAGTCTCGGGAAAAACATTTGCAAAGTAGCATCATATCTACAGCCCAGGCTTGAGGAGCTCCCCTCTGATTTAAGGGGGAGATCTGATAGTTTCCAGGGCACTGCAGTGGCAGTGACTGACCAGCCAGCCAGCAGCTGTACAGAGGGAGATCAGTGCTTTTCCCCAGAACAGACTGCTCCCTGCCTTCGACTGCAGTATTCTCTGGGCTCTCCTTTGTCTGCAATGCAGCCCTTTTAGCAGCGGGCTAATGCATTCCCCCACATGGGAACAGTGGTACTAAACTGCTACCCATGTTTGCAAACTGTCCACCGTGCATGTCCCTGCTAAGTGATGTACTTTGCTTGCCAAGATACTTGATACAGTCTGCTTAAATCTTGTATGTGCTTGTATTGAATCAAACTAAGCCATTGTGGCAGTTTAATATACTCCAGTCGCAACACCTCCGAGATGGAAGAAATGAACCTGAACAGGCCATTGGAAGCTTGAGTTAAAACTGGCTGCATCAAAGATGCCAGTGGGATGGTCTGAGCCGAGGGGATTACAATGTTGGGCAAAATGCAGGGTCACTAGCTTCGCTGGAGCTGTATTCCCAAGAGCATAGGTGCAGTCACCCTGGGTGCTCTGCCTGGCAGAGGGAGAGGGCCTAGTGGGTCAGAGCACTTGCTGATGTGTCAGGCAAGTAATGTGGTCATTATGGTCTCTGCTTCGTCCTAGGGGCTTGGGCCAAGCATGTGGTAAAGTAATGTGGTCATTATGGTCTCTGCTTCCTCCTAGGGGCTTGGGCCAAGCACGTGGTGTTGTGAGGCTTGGCTGGCTTGTGGACGAAGGGTCCTTTTCCGCTGGGGGATGGTTCAGACACTGCAGCACTGAGCAACTTTTGCTTGGCTGAAGCAAGGGACTTGCTTGACAAGTGGATGCAAAGGAAAGCAAGGCTCTGGACACCCAGGAGGCATCTCTCCCTGGAGGGGTGGGACACATTTCTGTTGCTCACTGCCCCAGTTTGATTTGTCTTCTTGAGGACTATTTGTGAACTCTGTGGAGCAGCTCCCTAGTTCTTTTCTCTGCCTACTCACCTTTGCTCTGTGTTTCAGGTTTCCTTCCAAATGAGTCCCTGAGGTTCCTGCTGGCAGCTCCAGCAGTGTCCTGTAGAAGTGCCGTCCTGCTCCTGGTCTCAGCAGCCGAGGCACCTCCAAACCTGCTTCTGCAATGGGTGGGTTGTAAGCACTGGTAAGACCTACGAGTCGTGTTGCCTTCGCTGCTCTCTCCCTCTCTCGCGTTCTCTCTCTCTGTCCTTGTTCCTTCTTGCCCATTTATTTCTGTTCTCCATGTGCTCTGCTGTTCTGTCTCTGGGGTTTTCACTGTCAGGTAATGAGGAGCTGTGGGTCCAGTCAGTCTTGGAGATGCCGAAGAGACGAGACATCCTGGCTATCGTGCTGATAGTTCTGCCCTGGACACTACTAATCACCGTCTGGCACCAGAGCACCATTGCTCCACTGCTTGCAGTGCACAAGGGTGAGAGAAATCAAACCAGCCCATGCCAAGTCTGTGCATCCCTCCCTCGTCCTCATCTCCTCTCTCATTTCATTTCTCCATGGCAGCCATGCTCATCTCAGCTCCCAGTCCATGCTCATGCAGAAGCCTCCCCACTTCTGCTGTAGGAACAGCCCAGTGCTCATAGGGGTTCTTCAGAGACATCAAACTCCAAGCCATGGGATATGCTTACTGCATTTGGAGAGCTCTTTATGGCCTAAATCCAGAGTACTGAAGGAAGATGCTTTTCTTTGTTCCCTGATGATCCACAAGAGAGGAGTCCCTTCTTGCTGGCCTTTGCAGCATTCTGCACACAAGTTAGTCCAGCAGGAAAGCTGCAAAAAAGAGAGCAGAGGAAACAAAGCTGCCACTTGAGACAGCTGCTCTGGGAGACATGAAGCAAAGAGCATTTTTAAAGTGTCCTCAGAAAAGCAGCAAACGGTTGCTCTTGCACTTGAAGGAGAAGACAAGAGCCAGCATCTCCCCTGATTGTTTGCTGGAGTTACAATGCTATGAGAGAGTCAGCTTCCATGCTACCTGTCACACAAAGCATTAGAGCCCTGGCCCAAATCACATGAATGCAGGAAGTTCTGAGGGATCCTCTCTGGCCAGAAGGGTCCTAGTTTTTTTCCTGTTCTTGGCATAGCAGCAACATCTAAGGGCTGTGAGAGCTCTTGGGGGCTGGAAGAAGCCACGCTGCCTACTGCGGTCTTCATTCTTGGTTCTGCCCTTCTGCTGAGCACCAGGGCAGGCGGGTCAGCTTGGAGAAGCTTGTCTGTAGGGAAGAAGGCCAGCTCATTTTCCCTCTCTGGTTCCTTTCTCTGAGAGATTCTCTCCCCTTTTCATTTTAATGTTTGCACCCATCCTCCACAGTTGCTTATCCTTTTGCTGAACAGTCTGATGTGCAGTTTGAATTGTCAGAAGTTCTGAGTCTGTCCCGAGCAGCTTTACCTTTCCCCCTGGAGGACTGACAGCCACCCATGAGGCTTCGGGCAGTTCTTAAGGGAAATATGACTGTGATCCCCTCTGGAAGGTGGACAGTGTTTCAGAGGATGAGGGATCTACTGGGCTCTAAAATAGGACTTGAAAGACTACTAAGAATACGCTGTCCGTATACCAGTTTGATTCAATGCCCTAAAAACTAGGAGCTGTTTTTTGTGAATGGCCACGGACACTGAAGTTACAGCACAGAGACTGCTCTGCCCTGGCTCAGTCCTGAACTTACCGACGACCTTGGTAAAACACTTCCTCTGCCTCTGCTTCTCTGAGCCCCCAGTGGAAAATGAGTGGTGATAGAGACCAACCTGAAAGCTCTTGGGAGAAATTGTTTTGTTCTTGTAATGCGTTTCTGAGATCCTTTGGTAGCAGGTGCTGAAAAAGAGATGTGCATCTGTACCCTAGCGAGCACGGATCGGCAGTGCTTCCCCATGCCAGGATTTACAGCTGAGGGTTTGACCTGCAGGGGTTTGCAAACTGTCTCAAGCACCGTCCTGGCTAATTACATTTGTGTCTGTGTCCAATGCATTTTGCAGATTTATTTTTGAATTGATTCCAGTGTTCTCTGCTTTCAGAGAGCTTCTGCTATGTGATGCTGATGTGCTTTGCCTTATATAGGGCCTGATACCAAGATGTGCAGGACACCTTGTCCCTGTCCCCCCTGACCAGATATACACCCTCCCTCCATCAGTGCCATGGAGTATGAGGCCTTCATTTGGTTCAGGGCTGGTATCAAAGTCTATGCTGCTCAAGAGTAACATGCTATGAAAAAAACATACCCTGCTGGGTCAGATCTAATGTCTGTCTGTTCCTGTTCTTTCTCATCTGAAGTTCCTGGTAGCAGTTGGTTTTGCAAAATCTATGGCTCAAAGCATTATGTGCCCACTAGAGAGCCGCTGGCTTATATCCTGAATGGAGGTGTCCCTTTCCTGCTGGTCTACAGTGGTACGAAAGTATGAAAGTCGCACCCTGGAAAAGTGACAGGTGCATGAACATTTTTTTTCCCTTGAGCTGATCGTGAACAATTCTCTCTTTGCAAGGATTTTGTATGTTTGGATCAGTGTATCCTATATATATGCTGCTCATTGTTCACATGTGCACTACTGAATGGGCTGTTATGTTCAGAGGTCTGCTGGTCTACAGTGGTACGAAAGTATGAAAGTCGCACCCTGGAAAAGTGACAGGTGCATGAACATTTTTTTTCCCTTGAGCTGATCGTGAACAATTCTCTCTTTGCAAGGATTTTGTATGTTTGGATCAGTGTATCCTATATATATGCTGCTCATTGTTCACATGTGCACTACTGAATGGGCTGTTATGTTCAGAGGTTGGTAGGGTCTTTTTGAGGAGAGGTTAGTCAGAGGCAGGTGAAAGTCTCTGCAGGAAAAAGCCTACAATTACAGGCTTTAATTTCTACTCTCCATTTCTGGATTTGAAGTGTGTCTTTCCCCACTTCTCCGTGCCCCATCCCAGGCCTGTCAGGAGAGCAATGGAGTACTGCAGTATCCTGGCCAGACGATGCTGCTGGGGGATCTTCACTGACTCTGTATTTTCCACCAGTTTGTTCCCTGCCTCCCAATCCAGGTGCTCCAGTGCCTGAGTGCAGAGCAATGCGCCCTGTCCCGCTGAGTATGGTGCCCAGAGCACTGGAGCTCTTCAGGAATGACAGATTGTCAATCCACGATCTGCTATTTTCTTTATCTAGATCTAATTGCTGTACAAGCCTGTCTCTTCTGGGTGCTTTTTGAAGTTCCTTATTCTGAGCACTCAGCTGCAGCATTGTCCTGAGCTCTCAGGCCTTGTTTGATGCTGATTTTCTAACAGCAGGAACTTCTTTTCTCATGTGTGTTTGTCCCTGATTCCTTTATTTATTTGTGTACTTATTTATTAAAGCCTCCGTCCGAGTTTGCTTCCTTTCCTCTGAAACCACGAGGGTGACCTGCTATTAGCAAGCAGCCTGCTGGCTCAGTCGGGGGGTGTTGGAGGAATGAGTCCATGCATCTTTTTCTTCTCTCTCATACCCTTGCTCAGATGATGGTGGTGACTCCCGGCGTGATTTCGCTGCAGGCTTGGACTCCAAGGAATACTGCTTGTCGGACCGGGACATTGTGGAGGTGGTGAGGACAGAATATGTTTATACCCGCCCACCCCCGTGGTCAGACACCCTTCCCACCATCCACGTCATTACACCCACCTACAGCCGGCCTGTACAGAAGGCAGAGCTGACGCGCCTGGCCAACACCCTCCTGCACGTGCCAAACCTGCACTGGATCCTGGTGGAGGACTCACAGAGGCGCACGCCTCTCATCACCCGGCTGCTGCGGGACACGGGGCTTAACTACACCCACCTCAATGTGGAGACACCCCGCAACTACAAGCTGCGGGGAGACATGAGGGATCCTCGCATTCCCCGGGGGACCATGCAGAGGAACCTTGCCCTGAGATGGCTGAGAGAGACCTTTAACAAAAATAACAGCCAGCCTGGAATTGTTTACTTTGCCGATGATGATAACACCTACAGCCTGGAGCTCTTTGAGGAGGTAAGACCCTGCTGGGGGGCTCCCAACTGGCCAAACACAGCAGATGGGGTTTAAAAGATGCTGTGTACTGAGCTGAGGAGATGCCGTGTACATCTTCTCCTGAGCTCTGGATCAGTCTTGTCTGTATAGTGGTCCCACTGCAGCTGTCCTGAAGTTTCCTCTGGGCCTCTGGTTACTGTGCTGCAAAGTGTGTGTTTCCCGGTGTCAAAGGCACCCTGTGCGAAGTAACGGGAACCCCAGGTTATCCTGTGGCATGTGATCAGGAGGCAGATAGTTTTTACTGTACAGGAAACTAATGAGGAGCTGCCTTCCGCTGTGGGGAGCCTTGTTAGGATTAGAACATCGCACGTCTGACGTGCCTGTGCAGAAGCACGTGCCTAGCAAAAGAAATCTCGGCCATCCTCCTTCCATGCCCCACCCTGGAGGAGATTTCTGGCTGGTTCCTGATCTGATGTTATCCACCTTTCTTCTCTGCCACCCCTATGTATTGCGCTTGGCTGTCTGTTAATTCATGTTTGTTCTTGTTTGAGGAGTCCCTGGGGTTTCTCTTCCTTGCTTGTTGTTTGCATTTGTTTGCTCTCATCCCAGAGTGTCCACTGGTTAAATTCTGTAGCTGTCAAGAGCCTGGTGCCTGCTCTGCACAGATCCCCAGCTGAGGTAGCAGTGCCCTTTCAGAGTTACGCCTGAATGGTGTCAGCACAGTCATAGGCTTGCAGGACATCTTGTTCAGAGATGCTCTGTGTGGTTGTCTCTGGGTTGCCACACACGTGAGGAGCATATATTTGTCAGTGCTTGCTTCTCCTCCCAGAAAAGTGGAGACCTTCATGCACTGCCTTGGAGAGGGCTGTCTCTCTGCTGGGAGATGCGTGCAGTGCTCCCCTCCAGAGCTCTTCTTCTTGCAGCATCAGGGGACGGATGGTCTCTCATGCTGTTGTAAGTAGGTGATGGGGCTGAGATCTCAGCCTGGAAGTTTGCGGCTCCAGGAACTGTGATGGAAGGCTGAATTTTAGCATGTCCTGACAGTCTTGTCGGGCTTGAGCAGGGGAAGGATCCCATATGCTTTCCCACCTTTGCTGTTTGTTCCACTCCTGCTGGGGCTTTAAATGAACTCCTGAGCCTTTCCCTGTCGGCAGGTATGCAATGGTCTTATAGTGCCAGGTACACTGTACCTCACCTGGCTTCCAGCCCAGAAATGACTTGTTCCCTTGCTCTCCTGAGCCCGAGCTCTCGCAGCAAGGGACAAGAAAGGAGGATTGCCTCCTTCCCCACCAGTTGCCAGTTTTATACCAGGGATCTCCTATTTATTTGCTCCGTACATGCCCCCTTTCCTTTCCCTGATGGCTTTCACTTCAGCTTAGATAGCCACAGGAATATACACACTTTTAAAGCTGAAAGCAAACTTAGACTGAATGTCTTTCTTCCACAGTCCCCTTTGAGGCTGGCTCTGGCAGCATTCTGAGTCAGACACCACACATTAATAAAGCAGAAAGGGTTCCTTCGTTCACCCGTGTGCTTTGCTCGTAGAGGCTTCTCCTCTCTGATCTGTAGCTGCAGTTAAGGTCACATGGAGCCAATGAAATGTGCTGTGAAATGCAGAAGACACGCACTATTGTTCCCTGTGGACAGGGGCTGCCGTTAGCATGTGTATAATACAGAAGGGCAAGTGCCAGAGCTCTTCTGGTCTCGTTTGCAGTAATTAGCAGTGATGAGATTAGCTTTGGGAGATCCCTGATCTAAGAGACTGGGTTGAGAGCAGAACGTGAGCCGAGCCTGCCAGCAGAGCAGGACAGGGCACTGGGGGATGGGCCGGTAGACTGGCATTCAACTCATCTGTGTTGGCAAGGGCAGGCATCTGAAGTGTCCCCTGATGGCTCCTATCTATTTCTCTTGACTCTACACGGAATAGAGGCATCCAGCTGGGCAGCAGGAGCAGCTACAAGCACCGTTCTGCATGCTGGGAGTTTCTGGAGAGGCTGCGCTTCTCAGCTGTCCCTGAGGTTGTGGGCTACAGCTGCAGTGCCTCACCCTAAAGATGCTTTTAGCCTTACTGTGGCTCATAGGTTGAGATTGCAGCTCAAACTCCTCAACTTTCAGAGAAAGCACCTTTCTTCCTAGATATGCCATTCCTGCATTTCCAGGTGGCCTTGGACAAGGTGCTTCCCTCCTCTGTGTCCTGGTTTCCCCAGCTGTCCATGTGGAGGACTGATGCCCCACAGCTCTAAAGACCTTTGGACAAAAAAACACTCTAAATCTCAGTTACGTTTATTATTGGCAGCTTTGGTTTTAGTGCTGAACTCATGCTTGGCTCCGTGGCTATCCATTAATATTGCTATTGTTAGTTGCCACTTTTCAAAGCACTTTGCTTCTCCAGCTCCAGGATGTGCATCCTCGTACAGGTGAGTAATGAGCTCTGCGGCTTGGTCCAAGCCACAGAGGGTGCCTGGGAACCTAAGCCAGGCTCTTAGCTCTAGGGTTTGTGTGGAAGCTCAGGGGCATTCGTCTCCTGCAGGACACTGAGCAAGGTGAAGTCCTTCTGCTGGGGTGCTGGTTTGTGTATTGAAAGTCGCATGCAGCCGATCCTTCTGTGTGCACCCACCATACCCTTCTCTTTCCTTGCCTCCAGATGCGCAGCACCAGAAGGGTGTCAGTGTGGCCAGTAGCCTTCGTTGGTGGCTTGCGCTATGAGTCACCCAAAGTGAACGCTGCAGGGAAGGTCTATGGCTGGAAAACTGTGTTCGACCCCCATCGCCCCTTTGCTATAGACATGGCGGGGTTTGCTGTGAACCTCAGACTGATCCTCCAGCGATCTCAGGCTTACTTCAAACTGCGAGGAGTGAAGGGAGGCTACCAAGAGAGCAGCCTGCTCCGGGAACTAGTGACCTTGAATGACCTTGAGCCGAAAGCTGCCAATTGCACTAAGGTATGGTCTCTTTCTCATACATGGGTCGTAAGGATCCAGAGGTAGGAGAAAGCCCATCCAACCCCATCATGCAGTCACTTGTCCTCTGCATTTGAAGAGAGCACACCCCCGTTGCAAGGGAGCTGGGAATGGGCGATTATGTATTAAAATGTGTGGAAGGCAGTTATCTTTTTCGGTTGCAGACTGCTAGCAGTTGCCATAGGCCTTGAAATACGGAGTCTTCTCTCCCCTGTCATGGTTCCTCTTTCTTATATTACCTCTAAGAAAATATCCTTATTATTTTCAAGATGGGCTTATCTGTGGCCTTGCTAATCCCCTGGGGCAGGGAACTCCATAAATGAAATGTATGTCAGTTGCTTTACGTGAATTCCTCAGGGGAGCTTTTGAGTACGGGTACTCCTGTGATAAGCCAGCATCACATGAGATTTGGCCCTCTGGAACCCATCTGAACCGTAACCCAGAAGTACCAGCCACAGTGTTTCCTGGCTGCAGGGAAAGACTGTTCACACAATCACTGCCTTACTGCAAAGTTACCTTCTCCCTCTTGACATCTATGCAATATTGCTGTAGTTGTCCACAATAACCTGGATCTTTCTGTGCCAGAGATATGTAGAAATGTTTTAATGCCTGGGATATTGCTCTGAGCTCTAGGAGGCTTCCATAAAGCTTCATTTTGGGGGGATTTTACTGCTGTCAAATGACTGCTAATTATTTGACTGTACACATTGCACAGGAGCTACCAGGTCATGGAGCAGGACCCCTATGTGCTAAATAACGTAGAAACTCGGAACACAGTGATGGTTCTTGCCCTAAAGACTTCCCAGTCTAAGATGAGAGACAACAGATGGATATTTATCTGGAATGACAGGGGAGCATGCGAGACAATGCTGGTTAGTGCGACAGGCATCAATCATAGCACATCAGCAACGGATGTGCAACATAGTACATCAGATGCTTCTGAAAGCTTTGTGAGTGGGTCCACTGAGCACCGCAGGTTTGCAGGGAGTCCCTCTGAGATCACAGACACCCCAGTATAGCACTCTCATGCCTTTGTCTGTAATAGACACCAGCCAGTCTGATTTAGGGAGTCTTTATTGCTTAATTATCCCAGGAGGATTATTCTTTTTTTGCAAATAAGCTGTTACAGCCAACAGACCCAGTGTTGGATCCAGTTTCTATCCCTTTTTGGGATAGGAAGAAATTTTCAGTAATACCCTTTGTCTCTGCTTTCCATCTGCACTGCTCCACAGCCCCCAGCCGTGGAAAAAACAAGGATCTCAATGTTCAGCAGTGCTCAGGCAAGGAGTCCAGGAATAAGAAAGAGGAGCTGAGGGGGAGGAGCAACTTTGTTTATTATCTGATACCTGCTGTGCCTCACTTTTTAAATCTACATGTCTGTGGTTAAGGCTGTCCAGCACTGGGATAAATAACACAGATGGTCTCCCAAGGGTGGGAAAAGAGATTGGATTAAAATTAGATCTCTGTTCTTGGGCACTGCGTGCCCTACTAGCTAACAAGAAAGCACTGGCTGGAAATAAGTGTGTTTTCAACAGGCCAAGGGAAATGCACAGGTTGCTTTTAGTCTGGTGTACAGAAGATTAGGGCTGTTTACTCCGTGGCCAGTTATGCAATCTTTGGTATATTATAAATAACTATATTGGAAAGAAGCTGTGTTAAAAGGCTGGGGATAGGAAATGACGGTTGTGGAGGAACACATGGAGGAAGGAGAGGAAGGAAAAGGTTGTTTCCAGGAAGGAGGAAAAAAATGATGCTGTCAGACAGGCTGCCGTGTCAGTGCTGTCACACAAGAGCTGCAGGTCAGAGGTGGAGAGGAAGCAGAAATTGCTGGCCAGGATTTGAAGCAGACTGCATTTCTTTTTTTGGCCAGGCTGTGGGGATCTTACAAGGGTCCTTGTTGTGAAGTGAATGCTGTCTGCTCCTGGCAAACTCTGAGTGCAGCTTTGCAGGTTGAGCTTTGCCTTTCTGCTTTTAGCTGATGCCAGCAGCCTCCATTTCCCAATTGCTGTTTTGCTCACCCGTTTGATGAGGAGGAAAGTCCAGACAAGCAGCAGAGAAGGACAAAAGTAGGCTATGGTCTGGGGTCCTCTTGCCCTGAGATCGAAGCATAGACTTCTTTCTCATCGTGCTAGTGTGCTCCCAGCAGTTGTCATGGTTTGCTTCTGTTAAGCATAACCATATTCCTGTTTTGCAGTGAGATTTACATTAAAAATTATGATGTGCTCAGATACAGTCGTTAAGGAGGGATCAGAGAAGTATGTAAGATAAGCACAGACATCTGTTCTCCAAAAATGCTGCCTTCCCTGTGTGCAGCGCTGGTATTTGTAATGTTTATCAGAATTCAGCCCACAAATGCACACTCCTGCAAATAGCTTAAGCTTTAGCCAAAGACATATATCCTGCTTATTTTCTTTTATTTGGGAACTGCCCAAAATGAAGGAGAAAATTAAGGAAGTCAGTATTAATTGCCGAGGAGAAAGGAGAGAGTTATCCCTCCTTATCAGGAGGGAAGGGTTGGTTTATACTGGAGTTGTAAGGAAACAAGGCTTTGCAAGCGTGCTATGTTCTGCTGCTTCTGCATTCCCCCCACACCTCCCCAAAGCAAACCATACTCTCTTCAATCCATTGACACTGGATAGAGGTCTGAGATTCTGTATTCCCATAAGGTTGATGTAACTGAGACATATTGTGCTCCCCATTTTCTATTAACACCTGAGGAAACAAATTGCAGGGTGCTCAGCCAGGGAGCCCTTAAAAGAGAGAGACTTTGAGTGGCCCCAGCTATTGAAAAAGCCTCAGCTTGGGCTGGCACAAGGTCATTGGAAATGAGGCTGCTCCTGGAGACACTTGTTTCTCCAGGGAGATAGGCGTAGATACGTTCCGTTGGGTGAGACAGGCTTTTGTGCACTCGGGTGGTCTGGGTAGCAATTCACTGGGATTGAAGTGGTGGCTAAAAGTAGTTATTCCTCCGCTCTCCTTCTCTCTTGGCTGAGTCAGATCTGAGATTAAATCTGCGGGTTAGCAGCTCAGTGTTTAGGTGGATGTTATGAAAGCGAATCGGCTGGCAGCTTTGCGCTGGACCGGGAATGGCTGTCTCTGAGCCTTAGAGGCAGGGCACGTGTGGGCACTGTTAAATGCCACAGTTGGTATAACAGGTTGCTCTTAGATGCAAGCTAGAGAACAGGGAGCAAAGAGAGCTCTCCTAGCAGTAGCTGAACCACACACCAACACTGTGGCTACCGTGGGTCTTGGAACTGGCTCTGGGAGGGGAATAAATCCTTGTGCATATGGAGGAGATCAAGCCTTTGGGCCCAGCAGCAGCCAGGAAATCGCACAGCAAAAGGAGACCAGAACTGGCTGCTTCGTGATGTCACAGATCTAAAACAGCTAAAATGCCTCAGAATGGGCAGGAGAGAGGGAAAATGTCAGCCAAAGGCAAGAAGGCTTGAAAAGGAGTACTTCACTTCCTCCTGTTTCTATCCTGTGGTGCTACGTACAGCAGGCAGGGGAATCAGCTTCATGAAGTCTTTGTTTTCTTTGCCTTTCAGGGGCTGAGCTGCAGGGTAGGGATGGAGCAGATCTGTCCTCTTTTGGGTTAGATTGTTCCTGAGACTGGGCTCCTCTTTTCGTGTGGATTTGTGACCAGTGGTTTGCAGTGAGCATTCAGTATCTTGGCTGCTATGTGACAGCACTTTGTTGGTTAAGCTTCGCATGCACACCAGTGAAGACACCAGTGCTTGAGCTGTTGATTTTTACGACAGACATGCAGAACTTGGAGGGTTCTTTTGGCCTTGTCTTGTCCTGATTAGTCACCAGAACTGCTATGCCAATGCCATCCCCTGTACCACAGCTGAAAGCTGTAGTTTACATCAGAGTAGTTCGGGTTTTGCAGCACTGTCTGCCTGCACTGGTCCACAGATCCATGCTGCAGCTGCAATAGCTCAAATTAGACCGCTGTAACCCTTTCTTCTCTTGTAGTTTTGTATGTTTTGCCTGTAATACCCATCACAAAGCACAAATCTTCAAGTTGGTGTAATTGCACAGTTGAAGATTACTGTTTGAGCTCTGGCTCATTTAATAGCAGTGGCCATGATTCTCTTGACATACAAGAAAAACAAGAGTTATAGGGAGAAGCAATCTTTATTTTTTATACCAATGGATGTGCTTTTGGGAGAAGAGGGCCTCCCCGATGCCTAAGAGAGCCTGCAGAATTTTGGTTTAGCACAAGCTGAGAGAAGACAAATCTGTCATTTCAGCTTGGTGTCTCTTTTTCGTCACGTGGTATAGTCTCCATTTCAAATAACAATTACTGAAACCCTCCACAGAGGGTCTGTGTGCTTGAAATCCTGTGACCCACTCCAACTGTCGGTCGACTTGCCTGTTTGCTTTTTAATTTCCTGTTAGAAGACAACGAAGAAGTCTGCTATGGAGATGAATCCTTGTAATCTCTTAGATCTGTTTTGAGTCCTCTGATTCTGAATGGCAAGGCTGTAAATGATTGGAAGTGTTTTGCAGTAGTAGAGATTTTTAAAGGGGACTCCCTCAGATGACCTATATGAAACTACTGTTCAGGGGAAATCAGATACTTGGTCCCCCTCACTGTTTACTCCTTTGCAAGCTGTACTTTTTGCACAAGCCAGAGCTTCCCTGAGGCACAAAACAAAAACCCTGCTTGTGGAAAAAATCAAGTAATTGGCTGAGAGGAAAAGCAGGTGTTTCTGTACTAAATGGTGATCTCCCTCCCACATTAAAGAACACAGCGTGAAAAATGGTAGAAGTTGCTGTATCAAGCCGCAAATTCTGAAAATGGGTCCATTTTAGTTAATTTAATATAACTGTCTTTTTTGGCACTTGGCTTTAACAATGCAAAAGTGGAATCCAGTTTAAAGAAAAGATAATAATGTGTAGTTGTGGTCTTCTGTTTATGGAGTACGTGGTTAGAGTTGTTTAAGTGTGAGTCCCATTCCTTGGCCATCGGCAGGGTTGAGTGCTTATGTGTCAGAAGCGGAAGGAGCTCTTACCTGCTCCTGCTGGAAAGGAGAATTGGCTACAAGATTTTTCTAGCACCTGGACTGCATTAAGGTTTATACATTCTGTTTGTTGGATGAGGAGCCCATAACTGATGCTTGCATGGCACTGAGAGCCACTTGTACAGACCTGTTTGGTTTTGCCTTTTCACAGGAAAGTAACGCAGTAATTGCAGCAGCGTTGCTGCAGTGGGTAAGCCTATAATAAAGGCTAATTTTGATGAACGGGCTCTGAAGTGCTTGTGGGGGAGCGATGAAATGGTTTTTTGGACCCACTCCAGACAGCAGTTGGTCTCTACTGCCTTAGTATTAGCAGGCGAGATTTAAGCCCCGCACAGGAGGTGACTGCTCACATCAGAGACAAATTTGGTCAAACAGCTTCTTGGGAAGGTGGGGGTGCTCCTGTTTAACCAGAAGGGTTTGAAAAAGTCATCCTCTAGAAACAGAACGTGCCCTCATTTTTCAGAAAAGCAGGGACTGGGTATGAAATGGTTTGCAGATACTTGGCTTAAATGTGCAGAGTATTGTCATAGCAACAAGAGGGAAACCCCTGCAAGGTAGGAAATATCAATGCAAACAGGTGAAGGGAAGCAGGAAACTGTAGCTCTGAAGGGATAAAGCTGCTCGCAGCAATCCAGGTTCGAGGAGCAAAGCAATAAGTATAATGGAGTCTAGTGAGGGGGGAGTATTTTAAACAGCTTCCAGAACTGTCTGTGCCAGCAGTATAGCACAGCTAGTAGAAACTATTTACCTATAATACTCGCCCCCACCTCTAAAAATGTTAGACCACCTCTTCAATGTATATTGTTCCCTGTACTTCTCCACAGATTTTGATCTATATTAAACTTTGCTGCTAAGACTGAGGGAAGCTTTTAGTAGAAGCTTCAGTTCTGTTTTAAACAAGTTGGAGAGGGGCTTTAAAGTGATGCAACATATTGTTGCACCTGGTACAGAAGAGTGGATGGCAGCGTGGGGCCAGCATTTCAAAGGAAATGTGTATGGGGCTTTTGAGGTGATATGGTAGACTAATGCTTGTTGGGTTATGAAAAGGGCTGTGTACAGCCCAGGGCATGTGGGAGGAAGGGAGTGTTCTCTAACTAGCTCCTGCATCTTGCAGCTCTAAGACAGCAGAGGTTGCAACAGAGAACCGGAGCAGCAGTAAGTACTTCTCAGATCAGTGTCACTCTCACATCTTTTTAGGGTCTTAAAAGAATTTAAAAGTCGAAAAGAAGTGATAGTGAGGTTAGAGAGCAGACTCATGTCTTCCCTCCAATAATGGATTTTCAGAGACGCACTGAAAAATCCATTTTAATATTTCACACAACCAAAGGCAATGGTGACGATTAGAGCAGCTGGTGGTACTCAGTATAACTACCTTTTCCCTCTAATGCACGAGTCACAATGTGACCTGAAGTGGCAAGAATTTGCATTTGCACTCTGAGCCTAGCAAATAACTCCACGCTGGCCAAGATGTAGTAACATGATAACCCAGAACCACAGTAAGGAACTTCGTCTATGGGGAAACATGCATGTGATTCTCCGGCTATGAAGGAACTGCCTTACATCACTGAAAAGGTTGATGAGCTATTTCGAGGAAGATGGTTGATAACTACATGGAAGGAGCAGGTTAATGTCCCAAGACAGTACACTGTAAAATGGGCAATTTCTGTGCACTGTGCATTTTGGATAGCAGTAGGCCTGCCTAAATGAAGTTTTATGCAAACCTCCTTTCAGCTGTGAATGCGCCATTAGGCCCCAGGCTAGATGGTTAAATTGCACTATTGATTTAATGTGCAAGAATATTTGTTAGTGCAGTGAAGAGATGCAGCTAATGACTTCTGTTGGCTTCTTCAGATTTTAGTCTGGCATACGAGGACAGAAAAGCCTGTGTTGGTGAATGAGGGGAAGAAAGGATTCACAGATCCCAACGTGGAAATCTGACTGTGCATGGCCGAGCGGAGACCAACACGTGGTAAGAGCTCACATTTTTGAACAGTAATGAGAAGCAACAGTGAAAAAGGAAAATACTAGACAATGACAGGAAAAAGACAAGAGCTCTTTTAAATCTGCTTTTTAATTTCCATTTTTCACATCTCTGACCTTCCCTTACTGCAAAACTTCTTGAGACCGTTAGTTAATCTCTCTTTTTAAGACAAGCTGCTAAGGGGGAAATACGTGGTGAGAGGTTGAGGGGAAGAAGAGAAATCCAGGGAGTGAGAGTTTAGGCAGAAATTACATTGTTAAAAAACGAAACACTTGTCTAAACAATAAGGTTGCCTTATTAACTGTACTAATATAGCTAAAGCACAAGGGTGAAGGATATGGATTCATCCACCTGCAAACACCTGAGGAAAGCTAAGGCAGTATCGGTGAAAGCATTTTTAAGTCAGGCAGAAGCTTTCGCTGATGGAAGAGTTTAATTTATATCCACATCAAAGCCACACAAAGTCAGTGACAAGTAAGGGAGGGTATGGACTAAACCCCAGATGAGGTATTTGTTTACCTAAGGCAAGCATGTAGTGTCTTCTTCCGTGGAAAGGAGGAAAGAACACGCACATTGATGGCTGGCTTCCTGCTCATTTGTTCATGCCCTGGCTTCTCACCTTTAGTTACCTGAGCATCCTGGTGCATTTAGTCTTCTGTATTTCCAGAGTGCACTCTGCAGTTGGTTTGCTAGAGTGAAATGATGGGCTATTCGCTTATATCTGCATCCAGACTATGTTGCCGCTCTTCATCATTATGGGGAAAAAAATAAATGCACAACTCCTTTTAACTGGAGTGTAGAACCAGGCCTGGAGGGGAGAGAAGGTTGCTGCTTGTTCTCTTTTCCTCTTGAATACAGAGAAGTAAGAGCAGCAAAGAAAAGGGGTAGATTTGCTCAGCGGCGGTATATTTTTAGCAGTAATGAGCTCTCTTATAGTACATTCCCTCAGGCTAACTGGATGGAGCCCTGCCTGCCACAGTGGCCTGCCTTTGCAGCCCATTGGCAGGACAGCAGAGGAAAGCCTGCACTGCACATTATCTGCGCTATATATAGCGGCTTTGCAGAGAGGCCATAGCTCTCCAGTGCTGTCACAACTGTTTTTCACCAACACCCAGTTGCCTAGCAGCAGTACTCACAGATCTGCAACCTGAGATGGGTTTTGGGACAGTTCCAAGGGGTGGCAGCTAACTGCAGCGAGGCAAAAGGGTAATATACATGCTGGTTGTGTCTCTGTTGCAGAAGATTTCTTCATGCACAGCCTGCAAGGTTCCTCTCCACAGCATACAACCAGCCAGACATGCAGTAGCCAGGACCTCTGCTGACTTCCAAGAGTTTTAGCATACTGAAACCAAGCAACACTGCATACATAAACTACCCGGATTCCCCTGCCCTTCCTCCTGGACTCTGAGCAGAACCAGATACTCTGGAGGTGGAGAAAAAGCACAGAAAATACAGGACTGACATCAACTTCAATACAAGACCAGCTGCCTCGTGAGATGCTCGGTTTGGGAGAAGTGCACGCAGGGCACGATGCACTGTGGCCCAGCTGGAATGGTAGTCTAGACTGAGGGGGCTGTTTTACAGGACCTGAAAGCAAGGGTGAGAATGCCCACAGGAGCGTGTTGGCCCCTGATGACTTGTTTTTCCTGAGACACACGTACCTTGTGGCTATGTGTGCAACAGCCTAAGCAGCTCTCTGTTCATGGAGGGGACAGCTGCCTTCTGAGATGGCACCTTAGCCCTTAATTTTAAACCTACTTTAATCAGTGTTTATTACGCTGCACAAGACAGGAAGGTTTTGGGGGAGGGTGAAAAGCAAGGCAGGTTATAACAAACCCATTAATGATCTCTGTTCTCTTTGTATTCCCTCTTTTTTCCCTTCATTAGTTTCATGGTTTGGAGGGCACTCTGACATACCTCTATGTTCCTGGATGGAGTTATGTTTACAGCATGTGGTTCTCTATTCATCCATGCTAAAATAATTGGAAGTAGGTTTTAATGAGATCGTTGTGGCTGTACACCATAATACTTCATCCAGGCTCAGATTTGGTTCTGTTTAGCTCTAATTTGGTTCACATGAGCATTAGGTGTGGGATTCTCTGAAGGGTGCTCCTACACAAAGCCAAATTTCCCCGTCTTAAAAAATAAAGTTAACTGCTTAAAACTAGGGATTGAACGATAAAAGCTGATTTTAGTGCATTTACCATTCTACTGGAATGTATCCTTCAGCCCTAGCCCTTTTTTAGTGCCATGCCATACTACTGCAGAGCTACTGGCGTGAAAAGCCATGCAGGAGCAATTCGAGAGTTAACTTCTGATGGATAGAGCAGCACCCTTGTAAAGGGGATCCTGTGCTTAGTGCTCTGTTTCTTCAGCACCTGGCTTGAGGTAGGTTGAAATACTATCTATGTAGAACATTAGTCACCTCTTCCCTGTTCTGTAACATCAAAGGTCCTGAGATAGCATTGATGAAAGGGCATTCTCTAATGAAACACTATTTTGATTCTCAGTGAGAGACACAGGACTGAGCAATGCAGAAGAGGAACCTGGGTGCTACTACCTTGGTTGACTCTGTATTTGAGATTGACAAACTTGCTGAGGAAGAAATTGAGGTACAACATACCCCTTCTCCCCACCTCCAGCCCCTTTAAAAAAAACCAAAACTTACCTCCCCCTTCATAGTTGTTGTCAAACCTTTGATCAACCCCCACTCTCCCAATTCTTTCAAAAAGGTCTGAAGCACAATTGAGGGAAAATGTAATCCTGGAAATAGACTTGGTTATTTTTAGCCCTAACATATAGAACTATTAAAATGCTATAGATTTGATTGTTAGCTTCACAGTGCAGAAGTCTCCCCGTGGACTAATGACATTGTCTATTTCCTAGTATTTAAAAAAAAGTATTTTTTTGTAAGTTATTTTCTCCCACTGTATATCAAAATCATTGGGGAAAAGTTGCATTCTTTAGTTCCCAGTCACAGAAGCCTTGCTACGTAGCCTTTACAAAAGTGTTCTTTTAGATGCATTGGCTGAAGCGCTACTTGGATAGAAAGCATTTGATGCTACTGGCCGCTGGCTGCTCTGTGGGAACGGGTATTGTTATCTTGTATTAAAGCAGTAGCTCTCTGCATTCAAGCAGATTAATTCTGTTATTGTACTAGCCTTCCAAGTTCACTTCAGTCTGCAAAACCTAGGGTGGAAAGAGACATTTTTGAAGGACTACAAAGTTTTCATACCATTTAAATAGTTTCCAACTGATGTCCTCTCCTAGCTGCATGTTTTGTTTCACTAATCTTAATTCCAGTCCCTGCTGGGTTGCAACCTTCCCTCCTTGGAAGGAAGTAACTTTCAGAAAAAGGCAAAGGATCGAGTCCTGAACACAGCCCTGCATATACGCTCCACTCTCCTCAAAGTTGGTCACATGAGCCTGGGCCCTTCCAACTTGCACAGAGGCTACCATAGTCCTTTGGAGCAGAGATACCTATGTTCAGTAAGACCAGCTCTGGCCAGGATGGAGTGTATTACAGCTGCACTGTCTGTTCTCAGTTTTAAACAAACTGTATTTAAATTTGTTAAATAAAATTATGGTTTCTAAGAGCCAGAATACCCCGCAACTCCATTACCAAGAGACAGTGCACGTGTTTGGTGTTTCTCTCATAGCCTGAATCCTCTGGTTACTGGAACAGAAAGCAGGGGCTAAGCGACTTCTTGGAGATTTTGAACAGATTCACAGCTTGAATTTGATCTCTTCCTCTCCCTAAAGAGACAGCAGCTCCTCAGTGGCTGCAGAGCTGGTGAGTTAAAAAAACATGCCTAAATCCTGTGTTTCTGTTTTGAGGGACAAAAAGAAAAAAGAAAACAGGACCCAAGATCCCAAGATTTCACAGCAGGTTTAACTAGAAAGTACGGATGTGCTCTCCCATTTGCAACTATGTATGCAACTCCTTTACTTCTTCCCTAACCAAAATCTGATCTCTGCTCATTTTACAAGGGGGAATTTCATCTTCAGGTGCTTCACGGTGAGAGCAGGGGTGGAGGGATAATTTGTCCTTTTCTCCTCCTGCACCTCCTCCTTGGAAGTTCTCATTCCTGCCTGGCCTGAAACATAATGATGTATTTGATAGAGGACAAAACACATTTCACTTTTTAAAACTTTTTTTTCCTTTTTGAGAGAGAGACAACCTCCATAGTAAAACTTAGTGGAAAAAAAGCTCGAATTAAGGTCATTTGACAACCAACTTGGCTTCCAACAAGTAACAAGTAATGGCCTCTTTGCAGAGCGAGATGCTAAATTCTGCCTGGAAGCACAACAAAATGGTTTTCCACACCTGGTTACTCACATGTTCACCAACTATTTTCTCCCTATCTAATTATAAAAACGAAGAAGCCAGTAATAACACATTTTTAAAGTCACTGGAGAACTGAGCTCAGCTTTCAGTTCAGATGGCTTCAATTCTTTCTCTCTCTCTCTCTCTCCCCTGCCTCCAGCACTTTTTTACTCCCCCACATTCACCGGACGGTCCATAACATCATGTGCAGCCATCCAAGCTGTGGGTCCTCAGTAGTGCAGGGAGATCAGCTTCCGCCATCCATCTATGAAACAATGGACTCTGGTTCCTTCGGGGCCCATTCTCTTTTCTGAACTTACTGCCAAAGAGCAAATCCTTTACCTGGGTCTAGTGGGAATTAACATGCCCAAGCGCCTGGGCCATCGTGTCCCCAGACATGCAATCAGGAATATTCAAGATGAACCAAACATGGGAAAGAAGCTCTCATCAGTCCACGTACTGGGTCCTTCCTAAATAAGGTATGTCGACAGATTGTATTATCCGTCCTGCAGTGCGTTCTTCAAAAATGACAATCTGCAGAAGAGAGGTATATATAATGTTCCTTCATACAAAGGCTGAGTTACTTTAAATATTTTTAGGAGGAAAAGGCATACGATCACAGCAGGGGAA